CTAATTAAGCATATGGAAAAAGCAGTCATGACCATAATTCAACAAAGAAATAAATATTAAATCATAATGATAACAAATTAATCCAGAAACCACAAATCCATGTGACTAAATTTTACAAGATTATAACCAATTGTTGATGAGAACATGAAATCATCCAAACTCTCATACATTACTTTTCTGATGGTTAAATCAATTTGTACAAATATCTTTATTTAGTGGTTATTTACAGTTGAACACCTATCCTTTGAACCAGTAATTCTGCTGGTAGGCATTTACCCAAGAGAAATTTAAAAAATGCATATCTACGTTAAAGAATATGCCTCATATAATATTTTACTTGATCCATTATGAATATATGTTAATAAGTGAAGTAAACTGCAGCATTTTCATACAACCAACTACTACTCAACAGCAACAAAAAGGGTGCTGATGCATGTAACAAATTAGAATCATTTTAAAAACAAAACGGAAAAATTCCTGGCACAGAAAATATACGACATTACATGAAAGTCTAGAGAAGGCAAAAGTAATCTACGATTCAGGAAGGAAAACAGATTCAGACTACAAAGTGTGGTACTTAAGGAGCTTGCCTTGTAGGCAGGCAACCAGTTGATCTTGACACCAAAGAGGTCCCAGGACAATGCTGAGAGTGACCTCTCACCAGAGCCAGGAGTAGGTGTGGCCCAAATCTCCACTCCTCCCAACAGCAAAAGAACAGATCCCTAGGACATATGGGTAAAGAATAAGAGGATTACATGGAAAGGATTTATGGGGTAAAGGAAATGTCCAGTATCTTTTGTAAGGAGTCCTTTACGGATATAATAAACATTATCAAAATTAAGCATTACAATGTATGTAAGTTTATTTAAAAACCATTAAAAATATTTAGTGGGACATAAAGAGAAGGGACCAAAAGAAAAAAAAAAGGCAGAACTTTGATTAAAATGATGATGGGCATTTGGGGATTCATTTTATTATTTTGTTTACTTTCTACAGTTATAGGTCTCTTAATGAAGGATTGTATAGACGAATGATCCCAATAGGACATACTGTATAGACAAGGTTATATCACACAGATGTGTGTAATTACACTCTATGATGCTTGAACAAGCAGCACCATATATGTTTAAGATGTTGTAGTTGATTCTTAAAAAAATAATTTCCTACGGTATGGAAATTCCTTTAAAAAATAAAAACAGAAATACCATATAATCCAGCAGTCTATTCTTCACATTTACCCAAAGGAAATGAAAACATTAAAGGACATTTATAGGGTTAAACTGGAGGCACCTTTAGGCCCTTGGCGGACGAAGGAAACGAGTACTCAGGTGGTAGGTATGGTGCTTGAATGATGTATGTATGAAACGATCACTAACAGTATCGTAATAACAATGCCTCAACAAAGATTTTTTTAAGCAAAACATATTTGTACTCTATGATCAAAACAGCATAATTCACAATGGACAAAACACGGAATCAATGCAACGGATAAAGAATGTGTGATATGCAATCTTAATGGAAGACTACTGTTTTTAAAATAGATGACACTGCACCCTCTAGGAAACAATGGATGGAAATCAAGTGGAAGAATTAAGGAATGAAAGAATTACCATGTGCTTTCACTCATGTGAAATATAAATAACTAAAGCAAGTGGAGCAGTAAAGAAATTAAATTCTTTATGGGACAGGAGCGATAGTACAGCAGGTAAGGCATTTGCCCTGCAAGCAGCTGACCGGAGTTCAATCACAGGCATTCTACGTGATCCCCTGAGCACCGCCAAGAGGAATACCCAGGCACAGAGCCAGGAGTAACCACTGAGCACCCCGAAGGTTATGTCATACAAAACAAACAAACACAAACACCCCCAAAGGAAATTAAATTCCTTGATTCTGAAAATGTGGTTACCAGAGAGAAAGACAGCTGAAGAAATAGATAAAGAGATCTTTTTTGGTAATAGGATAGCACCGGAACTTTGGTGGGTGAGTCTGATTCATATATATAGGTATTAAACTACATTCCTGAAATTGTGTATTACTGTAAGCCAATAATAAATGGAGGAAGAAATGATCTTTCTTCGTTTCCTCCTTAGGGAGAAAAGAAAATAGGTAATCGCTGACCTTCACTTAAATTAGTATCTCTTTCTAAACTTTCTTTCCTATGCCGAATAATTCATCTTGCTTACATTTTCTTGAGTACTATTCAACAGTTACAGTTTACCTCAAAAACTATTTACATTCCTATCTCATTTATTTACTATCTACATGGAGAAAAGATTTAGAGAGCTAACACTCTATTAGCTTTTATTATATGCCTGGCAGCATGCTAATTACTTTGACAAAATAACCCAATATAAATTTCAAACTTTAAGAACTTAGGATCTAAAATTTGAATTTGTTTTGGAGATACACCCTGTGATTCCAGGGGTTACTCTTGGTTCTGCATTCAGAATTACTCCTGGTGGTGCTCGGGGGACCAGCTTGGAGTCCATATGGGATGCTGGGGGATTGAATCAGGTTGTTTGTGTGCAAGGCAAGTGTCCTAACCCCTGTGCCATGGCTCCAGTCCCTAAAATTTGAATCTTGAATCTAAAATGTTATTAGTTTTTAGAAGTAGCTTGAGCTATTTTGCTCAAAAGTGAACCACTTTAATGAAAATGACATGTCAAAAACGTACTGTTTAATACAGAAAAGAATCCGAAGACTTAAGAGTCTATGCCCCTCCGGGGGCAATGAGGGGGGGATGGGACAGAGTATGGTAACACTGGTGAAGAGACGTTAACACTGGTGGTAGGATTGGTGTTGAAATACTGTATGCCTGAAACTCAATTATCAATAACTGCAAATCATGGTCATGTAAAAAAAATATTATTTGTTTTACCTTTTTTGGTCACACCGAGCGATGCACAGAGGTTACTCCTGGCTCTGCACTCAGGAATTACTCTGGTGGTGCTCAGGGGACAAATGGGATGCTGGGATCGAACTTGGGTTGGTGGCATGCAAGGCGAATGCCTGTACTATCTCATGGCCCCCAAACTTTTCTTTTTTTTTTTTAGAGTCTATGCCCTCTTTAAAAATCTCGATGCTCTGCCCTTCATTCAGAGGATCTATATTTCAATCTTGGCTGATCATGTAACTCAGTTGTATAGCAGAAGCTTCCTATATATGAGCCCCTGGGCTCAATCCCTACCACCAAAATTATGTAGATGATATAAAATAAAATTTAACAGGCCAGAGACATAGTCCAGGGGTTAAGGTACTTGCCTTGCATGAGGTAGACCCTGGTTTGATCGCCAGCATGACATATGGTTCTTCAAGCACTGCCAGGGATAATCCCTGAGCAGAGCCAGGAGAAAGCCCTGAGCACAGCCATATGTGAACCAAAAATCTAACAAAAAAATAAATTTAAATTTTATTTTACTCATAAATTCTCTTCCTCAAGGGAATTTATGCTCAGTAGCAACATAGGTCTCCTCTTCAGACTGACAGACCTAAGTATTACAATAGCAGAGCTCAAATATTCATTTAACTCTCTCTTTGGTAGTAAAAATAATTTCCCATTCCAATTATATCCAAATCTTTTCGCCTTTAATCTTATGGTTTTTTTTTTTTAAATTTTGGTTTTTGGGCCACATCCAGCAGTACTCAGGGATCACTCCTGGCAGACTTAGTGGATCATATGGGGTCCAGGGATCGAACCTGTTTTGGCTGTGTGCAAGACAAGCCCCCTGTATGTTGTACCTTGCTCAGGCCCCTCTGAGGTTCTGCTTTAATTATTGTTATGTCTTTGTTTCAAGTGGAACTGAATAATCTGTTTTGAGAACATCATATTTTCTCTTTATCCATAAAAAATGTACTTTGTTTCTGGAGACATCTGGTAGTGCTCAGGGGTTATTCCTGGCTCTGTACTCAGGAATCACTCCTGTAAGACGCAGGGGACCATATGGAATGCCAGGGATTGATCACGGGTAGACTGTGTGCAAGCCAAGTGCCCTCCTGTTGTACTGTGGCTCAGGCCTAGAAAAAATTGTTTCTTGGGGTGCGTACATACAAAGCAGTGCTCAGGGGGCCCAGGGACGATTCCCATGAATACTTGACAATCAAGGTCAAGACAATACAATACGAGGGCATGAGAATGCTGCTCAAGCCCAGCAGTTCTAGAGACCCAAGGGCCACCCTTGTGGTGTTAGGGTGCTGGTGATCAAACCAGGGTCCTGCACATGTTTTGCATCTCCCTGATCCCCATGCTACCTCCCTAGCCCCTTCAGTAAACAGCTGAGGTGGTTTACAAAAAAATATTGCCAAGGGGCTGGAGCGATAGCACAGTGGGTAGGGCATTTGCCTTGCACGCAGCCAACCCAGGTTCGATTTCCAGCAATCCCTATGGTCCCCCGAGCACCGCCAGGAGTAATTCCTGAGTGAAGAGCCAGGAGTAACCCCTGTGCATTGCCGGGTGTGATCCAAAAAGAAAAAAAAAAAATATATATATAGCCAATATCTTGATTAAAATTAGAATTCCACCTTAATTCTTAACTGTTTTTTATTCTTAAATATCCTCAAACCATTCATAAGATATAAAAGAGAGTGGAACAGGAGAGAACAAATAACTGTGAAATCACAAAAAAATAAAGTAAAATAGCTGCTAAGACTCATATTTTTCCTCATTAGCTGCACAAAATGTTTTACCCCAAAAGCTATAATTATAATTTTTCAGAGAGACCTAAAAAAGATCCCAACATTCTAAAGGCAAGACAGAAGAAAACATAGAAGAAATAAAGTCACTCACAAAGAACAACATTGTATGCATAAAACTTTATTAAAAAAAATTCACAAATGTCTTACATATGTTATCTGCTACAGATTCAAATGCAAGTTCTCCCAGATGCCATTTTAAATTATACATAATTTAAAAAACTTTTAATCCAAATGCAGCAAATAAACAATGGGCATCAAAATAGAAGTTTTTAAGTATTCATTTAGAGACATCAGCAAATAGATCTGACCTTTTCAAGTGGTTTTCCCAAAGAGTTTCCAATCAGTTTCCAATCATTCAAGACTTCTTCAACTTTAGAAATAAACCTAGAAAAGAGGGAGAAAAAAATAATTTAAATATGTCACAGCACAATTTTCCTGTTATACAATTTCTTTAAGAAAAGATTACTTTTTATGAACTGGAAAGATAGCAGAGGGGTTACCGTGCAAGCCTTGCAAGTGTCTCACCTGGGTTCAAGTCCCAGAACCACACAGCAACCAAGAAAACAATAGGCCCCCACGCACAGCTGGAGCACACACAGCCCCAGGTGCCACAGAGTACCACTAGGGAAGCTTCACCACAACCCAAGCAGCACCACATCCTTGGGCCACAGCACTAAACCACCAGCCCAGCAGAGGACTGACAGAAGCAGTCCCCTGAGCACCACTTGGAGGCACCCCAATAGAAAGAAAGAGAAGTGTATTCTTTTTATTTTAATATTTTTATCAGAGAATGCACAGCATATTTTGTATTGTTGGTTTACTTTATGGAAGTCAAATAGGAGTAGAAAGTCTTCTTTTGCCACCACAATCTTAGATTTTTATTTTGTCTATGGTTTACCCAATAAAGGCAGTCTGCCTCTCTAATCTGTCAATTGAAAATTCTAAAAAAAAAAAAAACTATATTAAGTGAGAATTATGAAAGGGGCTGAAGAGATAGTACAGCCAGTAGGATGCTTACACAGAGCTGACCTGGGTTCAATCCCTGGTATCCCATTAGCCCCCTGAGCACCGCCAGAGTAATTCCTAAGTGCAGAGCCAGGAGTAAACCCTGAGCATCTTCAGACATGGTCCAAAACCAAAAATAAATAAATTAGTCTACTACATGAGTAAAGACTGACAAGTCTAATAAGACACTATTAAGGATAATTCTAAAACCAATAATCTCAAAATAACTTTTTTCTTTCAAAGATATTTAGAAATTCCTGATCGCCCCCTAAGAATCATTTGAAAACTTTGTTCATTAAAATAAAACAAGTTTAAGAAACGAACGGCTAACAAGAAGCTGCAAGTAAATGTCAGCTTTTAAGGAATAACTAACATTTTGAAACTATTTACGATTCTTTAAAATGTAAAGACATACTGGAAAAAAGAATGAAGTCTTATTTGCTATAAGCTAAACATGAGCAAATTAACTGTCAATCCCAGTAGTGGTGATAAATACAGTAAAAACCGCTTTCAAAAGACATGCTATTACTCCACAAGGCTGACTTATATAAGTATGATGCAATCTAACAGCAACATTACTTTCCTAAAACACGTATGTATTATACCGCAGATGTACTGGAACTAATTCTAATCAAAATATATTCAGGTATTATGCTTTTTCCCTTCAGTGACCTTCAAAATATTTACATTTCTAGTGCAAACCTGTACTCATAGTAAAGATGAATCAGTTTTTGATTTAAGTGAACTTTTAATTCCTCTTCAAAATTAAATGGGAAATTAATCACCATACTAATATACATTCAGGGTTGTTCAGTCAAATGACTGCCAATTTTAGAACATGCTTACCAAAAAAAACAAAATCATTTTAAATGATCCACCTATGAGCAAAATTTGCATGTGATACATATATTTATAATGGTAGAAACTGCAGGCTACTTTAATGTTCAGCTGCAGCGGTGGATTAATATGCACCCACTAAAAATCATGGTTTAAAGACCAAGAGGTAATAAGAAAATCTTCATGTTAAATGAAAAAAATGGGTAAGAGATGTACTAACATGAATTTATACAAAATGTTTTCATAAGACATACAGAAGACATGAACAGAAGATATTTTCTCATAAAAGTAATAGTAGCTACTCTTGTAAGATTATAGGTGATTATTTTCCTTTATTCAACTATGGATGATTTTATGCTATAAATAAAATGAATTCAAACTAATACAGATTTCATAGAAAGCAGGATATCTTAAAATATTTTATGGAGTTTAGCAGTACTAGTTAAAGAGAAAATTTACTCTCTCCTGCAAATATTAAGATTTCACTAGAAAGTTTTCATAACTATATCCAATAAGGCCTCCAGATCCCTGTTGAATCGGATCCCTCATATATTGTTATTTTTTGTTAGGCTCTTAAGAACAGGATTCTTTTCCTCATATTTCTATTATTATCTGACTCATGCTGATCTCTTCCTCTAGATTGTACACTCACTAAGGTTGGCGTGTTTTTTTTATTGACCAAATCCTCCATTCTTTAAAGTGTTTGACAAATGGCACTGAATAAACGTTTTCAATGAACAACTAGATAAAAAGTTAAAGGGTCATATTTAGTCTTTTCAATAAATTGGATATATGGTCCAAATAAAAACTTGCCCATAAACTGTAAAATACTAATTTTTTTCTGGAAACAAAAGAGCCAAAACCAAAATTTCCACTTTGAGTGGGTCTCATAATGATGTTACAATTTCAAAGGATTTAATATTTGACTTCAGTATTCTTAAATATTAAATAGGGAAGTGGACATATTCCATTCACTATTGACACTCCGAGATTCATTTGACATTTTCTACCTTCCAGCGAAAAGTTATGATCTCAAATTCATCAGATTTTGTATTTTTGAGAAGTCTTACAATCTCCTCTTAGTCTTCAAATCACCAAACTATGGACCAGCAGTATGTTGCTTACTTTCATTTGGTTTCACCTCCTAAAACAAGTACCATTACTTTGCTAGTCTAAAAATCAAGGGTCTCTGTCTAATGTTTTCTAATGATTCTTTCTTAGTGATCAGTGGCATCAGCATCACTAGGGAACTTGCTCAAATTGCTAATATGGGAGACAGAGTGGAAACAGAGAGTTACAAAGTACAATTCTGACACACACTAAAAAGGCTGGGAACCACCAGCCTTAAAACCTAGATTTTTTTTTACTTAATATAGGAAACTAGTCCATAATCTTGGTACATAATCTTCTACAGACAGGAGGAAATTCAACATGTTCCAAAGTTCAGTTCCACCGTCTGCTCAGGACAGCACCCTGCCTTCCCAGCTCTAATAAACCACTTCCCTCCCAGATACCGGCTCTATCTTTCCCATGAAAACACCTCCAACCGTAATCCACAACACCACCACCTTTACATCAATCACTACCTTTTCCAGAGCTTGCAGCATCTGCCTAATAGCAAATTCACCTATTTGCAGTTTGGTTTTTATCCTGTTTAAAATCTTTTTTTTTCCATTATTGTTGTTCTGTTTCTTTTCTATTGTAATGCTTCCAAACAGAAAGACTTTGCCAGCAAAACTTCTCTTTTCTGACCGTATTACAGATCTAACTGAGATCCTGTCCATTTTTTCCTATCATCTGGGCACGACATCCAGCAATATACTCTTCTAAACCTGAGTTTAAAAGAGTACACAGCAGGGGCTGGAGAGACAGTCCAGCCGGAAGGACACTTGCCTCGAACCCAGCCAACCTGGGTTCGATCCCTGGCATCCCATAAGTCCCCTGAGCCCAGCAGGAGTAATTTCTGACTACAGAGGCAGGAGTACGCCCTGAGCACTGCCAGATGTGGCCCCCAAAACAAAACAAATTCCAAAATAGACTAAGCACTAGGCTAATTACTGACTTTCACAACCCCACTACCCACCCCAAAATTAAGGGCTTTACTTCCATCACTACCTTTTCCTGAGCTTGCAGCAACTGGCTAACAGCAAATTCACCTACTTGCAGTTTTGTTTTTATCCTGTCTAAAACCCTTTTTTTTATTATTATTATTATTGTTGTTGTTTTGGTTCTTTTCTATTGTAATGCCTCCAAACAAGAGGACTTGGCCAGTATAACTCCTCTTTTCTGACAGGTACTACAGATCCAACTGGGATCTTGTCCACTTTTCCCTACCGATTTTTTTACCAATTTTTCCCCTTCTGAATGATGAATGACATCCAACAGAAAACTTCTAGATCCCAGCTTATCCCCCAGACAAACCGGGCTGCTGCGGAAGCGCAAGCCAGCTGTCCCCGACAGCTGTGGCAGGGAGTGGGCGGGGGCGGGCAGGCAGGCAAAGCCCGAGGCATCGCGGTGACAGGCAGCTAGCTGCCCTCCGGTGGCCGCCTTCCCCGGGCCCTGTGCTCGGGTGGCCTCCGTGGACAGGTGATTCCGGAAGTGGCCGGGGAGGGGGTGGGGGGGGCGGGGCGGGGGCTCCGCGAAGTTTGTCCCTCCCGACTTTCGGCGGAAGTGGAAACAGGAAGTAAGTGGCAGCCTCGGAAATTGTGTCTGCCTGGGGACACCCTCCCCACCCTGGGCACCCCACCCCCGGGGAGTTGTAAAAAAAAAAAGAAAAAAAAAACTCTGAAGTTGAAAGGAAGCGGCCCAGCAGGCAAGAAAACTAAACTTTTCCGGAGAGAGCCCGACCGAGGCGCGGAAGGGTGGCGGCAGCGCTCGAGGCCCGAGCCCCTGACCTGTCCCCCTCCGTGTCCCCACCCCCACGGCAAGCGGCGGCACTGGGGGGGTTCCGTGTCCCGGAAGCGGCGGGGAACGCCGGGGCCCAGAGTCGGCTCCCCAAAGGTGCCCCTCACTCACCTCTCCCATTCCGAGGCAGTGGTGAAGTCCGTGATCTCAAACACCTCGGACTCGGGCTGCGGGGAGGGGAAAGAAAGAAGATTGAGCGCCGGGGCAACGCTGATGACGCGGAGGACGCAAACACCGGTAAGTCGGAAGCAAACATCTCACCTCACTGTCGGCCGCCATCTTGAACAGCGCCAGCTGGCCGCGGGGGCTGCCGGGAAAAGCCAGGGGGAGGCGGGGAGGCGGAGGGGGAGGGAACAGACCCGGGCCGGGGAGGGGCCTCCGTGAAGCCCCGCCCAGGGGAGCCAAGAAGGGGCGGGGCGGGGCGGGGCGGGGCCTCCGTGGAGCCCCGCCCATGCAGGGACCAGCCCGTTCAGGAATCCTGAGAAAGGATTCTTGGGATGAATTTAACGAGGTTTATTTAATAGCAGCCCCCTCTTTTTAAGAATTTTTATTCTATTTTTATTGGCTTTGGGGGTCACACCTGCCAATGTTCAGAGGTTACTCCTGGCTCTGCATCTCACTTTACGTTCTTTAAGAACTCAGTTCTTGTCCAGAGTGATCATTTGCAATTATCATTGTCCTAGTGGCCTCTCCTCTGTATTAACTCCTGACATTGCTCAGGGGCTGGAGTAATAGCATGGCGGTAGGGCATTTGCCTTGCACGAGGTCGGCCCAGCCAACCCAGGTTCGATTCCTCCGCCCCTCTCGGACAGCCGGGTAAGCTACCGAGAGTATCTCACCAGCATGGCAAACACCCGCTCCGTTGTACTATCACTCTGGCCCCAAACTGAATCATTTGGTAACTAAGATACACAGATACAATGTGTATCTAAGATACACAGTTACAATGTTGTTCATCATTGGGTTTCAGTTATACTTTATTCCAACACCCATCCCTTCACCAGTGTACATTTCCCACCATCAGTGTCCCCTTCCACTCCCTCCAGCCCCCCCCTTCCCTAGCCTGCCTCTTTCTTTTAGAAGACACCTTCCTCTCTCTCTATCTCTCTCTCTTTTTCTCCCTCTCTCTCTCCTTCCCTCCCTCTCTTTCTACCCCACACCCACACCCACCCCCTTCTCCTTTTAGACATTGTGATTTGCAATAGTTACTGAAAGTGCATCATGCAATCTCACTTTACCTTCTTTAAGAACTCAGTTCTTGTCCAGAGTGATCATTTGCAATTATCATTGTCCTAGTGGTTCCTTCTCTGTATTAACTGTTCTATCACCACACCCATGGCAAGGTTCTAACCATGGACTAGTTCTTCTGGTCTCATTTCTACTGTTTTTAAGTATTAGTCTCATACTGTGTTTTTTATATCCTGCAAGTGAGTACAGTCATTCTGTTTGTCCCTCTCTCTAACTCATTTCACTCACTATGATAGTCTCCTTGTCCATCCGTGTATAAGCAAATTTCATTCTCATTTTGTTGGTGACTGTATAGTATTCCATCGTGTAGTTATGCCATGGTTTCTTTATCCACTTGTCTGTTCTTGTTCTTTTTTAATTTTAAAAAATGTATGTTTAATTTGCAGTTTTCCTGTGGTTTAGTGAATAGAACAAAAGCAAGGAAGTAATACAAGTTCCTAAATATGTAGATAAAGAGATACTACACTGATTAAATAAGGAGATACTACACTGATTAAATACACTGAGTTTGTTTTCATTCAGCTCTGAGCTGGATTCACTTGTGGATAAAAAGATATTGAAAAATCTGAAATAAATTGAGTTTGCTTTTATTCAAACTGAGCTGGATGCGGAAATATCCACCCTCCTAGTGACCTGGAACAATGATCAGGAAAGTTTCACCATGAAATGATCACCATATGGAGGATGATGTGGTGACAGATTATGTTATGGAAGAAACCTTATCATTAACTGTATTTTAAGCCACGGTGCCTAAAATAAAATTTGAGACAACTTTTTTTCAGATTCTGTTCTTACTTTGCCAATTGGACTTATGTTTTAATTGATAATTCAAGTGGGACAGGGGAAGTGTCCTTTTAAAACTCAAGCAAACTGTTTTTGTCTTGTATCCTGCCAGAGGAAACAATGTGAAGAAAAAACTATTTTTCAGTTAGCGTGAAATCCAAGAACAACCCTGGATAAACCCCTTTCTGGATAGCATGGAAGGGCTGTTTTTGAAGTCAAGGGTCATACCTACAGTATCTTTTTATTTTATTTTATTTTTGGCCTTTTGGGTCACACCTGGCGATGCATAGGGGTTACTCCTGGCTCATGCACTCAGGAATTACTCCTGGCGGTGCTCAGGGGACCATATGGGATGCTGGGAATCAAACCCGGGTTGGCCACGTGCAAAGCAAACACCCTACCCACCGTGCTATCACTCCAGCCCCTACATTATCTTTTTAATCCCCAACACCTAGCAAAGTGATTGGCTGATAGGAGATGTTCATTAAATTCTTGTCAAATGAGTGACAGTGCAAGTTGGGACTTTTAGAAAGGTTTGCTGTGATATCAACCAACAGCTTTCCACTGTTATAGTGAACAGAAATTAGAAAGAGCATCCTAAAATTTGGCACTGGCAATACTGTTGTTAAAATTTGTCTATCTCTAAGTTTCTCATCTTGTCCTACTTATATCACCAATTTTTCTTATATTTCTCTTATTTTATAATAGAATATTTTATTGCTGAATTCTTATTTCTCAGTCCTCTATTGCCAGTTCCATCTGTGGGTGGTAATACTCATTAAATTTTAAAAAATAGTTAATTAAAAAAATTCTCAGACCTAACAGAATTAGAAGGAATAATACAACAAATAGTATCCATTGCCAGATTAAACAATTATTTCCACAACTAATTTTGTCTTATTTCTAGTCAACCCACTTCCCTCTTCCCATTATTTCCCAGAAAATCCTAGATGGTATCATTTTCTCTAATTATTTTAATATGTATGTGATGTTATTATTATCTGCAAAGCAGAATTCCTTCTGTTTCTCAATGGCTTAAGTGAAACATTCAAACTGCCAAAAATAAACAACAACAGCAACAACAGAAAAACCTCTAGACTAAGTGAAAACTTAATGGTTACTAGAGAGAAAGAGGGTGGGAGGAATGGAAAAGGGAACATTTTGGTGTTTGAATAGCACTGGAACTTCATGGTAGGTGTTATGAATCCTATACACCTTTAGAGATGTTAAACTGTAACTCTTAAACTATATAATGTTGTAAACTATTGTTTAGTCAATAAAAAGTTCCCCCAAATACATTCATTAAATAACGTCTTGTTCTTCCCATAAATCAGGAAATCAGTATGATTCCTGCCCCGTGATAGGGATCAAACCCAGGTTTTCCCACATGCAAGGCAATGGCTCTACCACTGAGCAGCATCCCCGTCCTCAACCAATAAGATTTTATTCCATGACTTACCAAGTTCTTAAATTCTGTAAAAGAATGCCCTTAATATCTCTTTCTTGCTTAATTGCTATGGCAAGGACTTCCAGTACTACATTGAACAGTGGGAGTGATAGGTTCCCTTGAGTCTTATGTTGTGATCTTAGAGGGAATGCTTTTAGTTTTTACTATTGAGTATATTTGCTCTGGGAAAATTGCTTTAACTGTATTGAGGAAATTTTATTCAACCTCTATTTTATTGAGTGTTGAATCGTGTCAAATGTTTGCTCTGCATCTGTTGATATGATCATATGATTTTTACTTTTCCTTGTACTAACATGGTATACTAGGGTGATTGATTTGTGTATATAAACCATATTTGAATTCCTGGGGTGAATCCTAATTAGTTATGGTATATGATATATTTTATATGTTGTTTGATTTGATTAGATAATATTTTTATGTTTCACAGAGATACAGTTCTATATTTTTCCCTTTTTGTGACATCTCTGTCAGCTTTTGGTATGAGGGTAGTGTTTGCCTCATAGAAACTGGAGAGTTTCCTGCTTATTCAACTTTCTGAAAAAGATTTGAAGTAGGGGGGCTGGAGCGATAGCACAGTGGGTAGGGTGCTTGCCTTGCACATGACTGACCCGGGTTCGATTCCCAGCATCCCATATGGTCCCCCAAGCACTGCCAGGAGTAACTTCTGAGTGCAGAGCCAGGAGTTAGCCCTGAGCATCGCTGGTTGTGACCCAAAAAGAAAAAAAAAACGATTAGGAGTAGGTCTTCTTTAAAGGTCTGGAGAAATTCACTAGTGATCCCATCTGGGTCTGGACTTTTGTTTGGGGGAAATTTTTGTTGACTAGCATTTTGGTTCCCTCAGTCACTATTAGTCAGTGTTCAGGTTCTCTGTATTTCTTCTTGGTTCAACCTTGGGAGGTTATAGGACTCCATATTTTATCAAATTTTTATCAGTTTCTTCTAGATTTTCCTGTTTCATGCCATAAGTATTTTTTAGTTAATACCTGGTGATCCTTTGGATTTCTGTAGTATCCATTGTGATATCTCTCCTTTAACTTCTGAATCAGTTTACTAGGGTTTTCACTCTTTCTTTATATAATGGTTTGTCACTTGATCACTTGATCACTTGACTTCCCGTTACTCATCGATTTGCTCTAGCAGGCACCAGTAACATCTCCTTTCATCCCTGTCCCGTGCTAGTGTAGCCCAGTGGCAACTGTTTGTTCTAGGAACATGAAGAGCCTCAAGCCGATCGTTCAGGGTCTTGATGAAGAAGTCTGACCATCTTGTAGGTGGGCAGCCACGTGGTCTTTTGACGTCCCATGGAATCCAGTCCATAACGGCTCTAGTCCAGCGGTCATCTTCAAATCTCATTACGTATCCAGCCCATCTGATTTTCAATGCCTTGACAAACGAGACACCCTGATTCTTGATCGTCAACGGTGGTCAGAACTCCAGACTCTTTCTCTCATTCGAGTGAAATGTGATACACCAAGCAAAGCTCTTTCAATTCCTCTTTGGGAGACCCGAATAGCACTCTCATCCTGTTTTCGTAGGGCCCAGGTCTCTGAGGTGTATATTAATGCAGGAAGAACAGTGGAATCGAAGAGGTGTGCCCAGAGCCGAAGGTTCTTCATCCTCTTAGCTATTTCTTCAATGATCTTGAAGGTGTTCCAAGCCACTCTCTTCCTCCTGCGCAATTCAGTCGCCAGATCATTCGTCATGTTGACTTCTTGATCTAGGTACACATAACTTGCATTCGGAGATGGTTGTTCCGTTGAGAGCAAATGCAATGTCAGGAATGAGACTGTTTCTCATAAACATTATCTTTGTGAGATTCAGCTGTAATTCAACCTTTCCACACTCATGGTCGAAGTCGGCCAGCATTTGTGCCACTTGGTTAATGTTTGGTGTTATTAGAACGATGTCATCAGCAAAGCGGAGGTAGTGTAGTTGCCAACCATCTATCTTCACTCCCATTCCTTCCTATTCCAGTCGTCGCATGATGTTCTTGAGGGTGGCACTGAAGAGTTTCGGTAAAATGGTATCACTCTGTCGAACCCCTCTCTTGTCATGGATGATCACTTCTTTGTAAAATGGTGAGATCCTCGTAGTGAATCCATAATACAGCTCACAGAGGATCCTGATGTACTGAATTTGAATGCCCTGATTGGCTAGGGCTTCGATGACCGCTTCTATCTCAACAGAATCAAAAGCCTTCTTTAAATCAATGAACATTAGACAGAGTGGCAACTTGAACTCCCAAGAAACCTCAATGAGCTTGATTATCATGTGGATATGGTCAATCGTGCTGAATCCTTTATGGAACCTGGCTTGCTCGGATGGTTGTTCTTCATCTAGTGTTCTGCCAGTCCTATTCAGGATGACCCGAGTGAATAACTTGTAGATGACAGACAATAGGAAGATCGGGCGATAGTTGACAAAGTTGTGGATGTCTCCCTTCTTGTACAGTAGTACAGTCCTGCTGGTTTTCCACTGGGATGGAACCTTGCATTCAGACAGGTAGCATGTGAAGAGCTGAACCAGGGCATAGAAGAGTACTGACGGCAGGTTCTTCAGGTGTTCAGGTCTGACCTTGTTGGGTCAGGTGCTGTTCTTTCCTTGACCAATGAAATGGCGTGTCGGATTTTGGAAGGAAGGACTTTGGGAATGACAAATCTATCCTGCGGAATTTGGTATGTGGGCAGGTGGAAGTGGCTATCAAAGAGATCTGAGTAGAAGTCATGGATAATCTTCTCCACTGCCCTTCTGGAAAATGTGATAGATCCATCAGGACATCGGAGGACAGTCATCTTGGTCTTGTAGTTGGCGAAGGACAGGCAGGCGTTGTGGATGCTTTTTCCGGCTTCTGCCGCATCTACCAGCACTGCTGTTCTTCTCTCTTTGAGGTCTTCCTTTATCGCATCTCTGCACTGCTTTGTGAGCTCGGACGTTTGCTTGTGGTTGCCTGAGGCATGCACCAAGCCACGTTGCGAATAAGCTCAAGAGTTTTCAAAGACAGGCATTTTTTTGTGGCTATCTCTCTCTTGACATTCCTCGCACAATCATGGAGATGCTGAACCAGTCGATCGTATTCCTCATCAATGTTTTCAACAACAGCATTTTCCCATGTTGCAGCAATAGTGTGCTCTTTGGAGCTCCCAGTTGGTGGTCGTTCTGGGAGTTCTCTTCTTAAACTTTACAGCCCTTTCTCCCCGCTCTGTGAAGTAGAATTTTGCACGAAGGAGACGGTGATCAGATCCCATTTGGAATTTTGGGACAACAGCAATATCTGTCAGGCAACATCGGTCAGGCAAAATGGTTTGTCAATATTATTTATTTATTATTATTTATTTCTTTAAAAAGCCCTATATGTCTTGCAAATGAAGGGTCAGGATATCCTCAAATTCCTTGCATCAGGAGGACCCATGTAAGTGGGTCACTAACCTTGTCTTCCAGACAAAACCATACTTCTGTAAAAGGAAAAAGATGGCATCTACATCATGCATTCTAAGAGAACTTAGCTTCTGCTGACACCCCTGGACATTGTTGCCACTGAAAACCTGGCATATGTCCATGTGATACCATCCAGGAATATTGACCAGTGGGCTGTGCCCAAGTTTGCTGCTGCCACCAGAGCCACTTCCACAGGTGGCCGGTTCATTTCTGGGCCTTT